CTGGAACTTCAAGCCAGAAGAAAAACAAATAAGAAGCATCCAAACTGGAAAAGAAGTAGAACCATCTTTGCAGATGACATGATACTATATATAGAAAATCCACAGAGAATCCACAAAAAAACTATTAGAGCTGATAAACAAATGTAACAAATTTTCAGGGTACAAAATTAACATACAAAAATCTTCTGTATTTCTATACACCGGCAACAAACAATCTGAAAACAATTATTAAGAAAACAATTCTAATTACAAGAACATCAAAAAAAAAATTCTTGGAAATAAATTTATCCAAAAATGTGAAAGACTTGTACATTGAAACATTGCTAAAAGAAATTAAAGAAGACCTAAATACTGAAAGATATTTCATGTTCATGGACCGGAACACTTAAATATGGCAATATTCCCCAAAGTGATCTACAGATTTAATGTAATCCTATCAAAATCCCAAATGCTTTTTTTTCAGAGGCAGAAAAGCTGATCTTATAATTCATATGGAATTGCAAGGGACCAGAACAGCTCAAACAATCTTCAAAAGGAAAAACAAAGTTGGAATTCTTGTATTTCATGCTAATAAGATACACTAATCAAAACAGTGTGGTATTGGCATTAGAATAGACACACAGATCAATGAAAAATACTGAGAGTCCAGAAATAAACCCAAATACTTCTGGTCAATCAATTTTTGACAATGGTTCCAAGACCATTAAATGGGAAAAAAAAGTCTCTTCAACAAACAGTGCTGGGACAAATGGATTTCCATATGGCAAAAAAAAAAAAAAAAAAATGAAGTTGAATCCCTCATCATATACAGAAATTAAATCAAAATGGACCAAAGACCCAAATATAAGAGCTAAAACCATAAGACTCATAGAAGAAAACATAGGGTTAAATCTTCATGACCTTTGATATTGCAGTAGTTTCTTAGATATGACACCAAAAGCAAAATGACAAGAGAAAAATAGAGAATTTAGACTTCATCAATAGTAAAATCTTTTGTGCTTCAAAGGACACAATCAAGAAAGTGAAAAACCAATCACACAATGGGAGACATTATTTGCAAATCATATATATGTTATTGGTATACAGTATCTAGAATATCTAAAGAACTATTACAACGATGAAAAAACAACCCAATTAAAATATGGGCAAAGGATTTGAATAGACATTTCCCCAAAGAAGATATACAAATGGCCATTAAACGCATGCTTAATATCATTAGCCACTAGGGAAATATAAACCAAACCACAAATAACAACGATGGCTATCACCAAAAAATTGGATTATAATTATCGCTGGTGAGAATGTGGAGACAACTGAAATCCTCATATATTGTTTGTAGGAATGGGAAGTAGTTCAGCTATTGTGAAAAACAGTTTGGCAATTCCTTATATTGAAAATCCAGAGTACTCTGCCAAAAAAACTATTATAACAAGTGAATTTAAAAAGCTTGACATCAAGCTAATATTTAAAAAAATTTTGTTTTACCATATGAGAAATGAAATAAAATTTAAAAATGTATAATAAAAATTTTAAATCATGCCATTTACAATAGTATCAAAAACATAAAATACTTAAGAATAACATATGTGCATATTTTATAACTTGTACCATGAAAACTACAATTCACTACAGAAAAAAAATTTAAGATAATCTAAATAAATGGAGAAATATGACATATCACCAACCAAAAGACTCAATAATGTGAAGATGTCAATTTTCCTCAAGTTGATCTACAAATTCAATACATCCCAAACAAAATTCTAAGAGGCAACTTTCCTTTAAAAATTAACAAGCTAATTCTAAAATTTATAGTGAAATGCAAAGGACCTCAAAAAGCCAAAACAGTTTTCAAAAAGAGCAAAGCTGTAAGATTTACCTGATTTCAAGACTTATTGTAAAATTACAGTAATCAAGTCAGTTTGGTATTGGCCTAAGGGCAACACAAAGATCAGTGGAATGGAATGAAAAGCCCAGGGAAAGACCATGCAAGGTTTTTGACAATGAGGCGGAGGTAATTCTGCAGAAAGGGTAGTCTTTTCTAACAAAGGAAAAAAATCTTTGCTACCTTGGGATAGGCAATATTTTTAGATAAAACACTAAAGATATGAACCACAAAAGAATAAAAATGATGAATTGAAGTTCAACAAAATAGTGAATTTTGCTTTACAAAAGAAAACATTAAGATAGTGCTCACTTCAGCAGCACATATACTCAAATTGGAACAATACAGAGACGATTAGCATGGCCCCTGCACAAGGATGACACACAAATTTGTGAAGCCTTCCCTATTTTTTCGGGGCTGTGAGTTCAAGCCCCATGTTGGGTGTAGAGATTACTTAAAAATAAAAATCTTAAAAAAAACAATAAAACATTAGGATAATTAGAAAGCAAAGTTGGGGGGAAAAACATATATGACAACTTGCGTCCAAAATATATAAAGAATACCTCAACAGCAAGAAGAGAAAGGGATGGGTCAAAAAAAAAAAAGGCAAAAAATTTTAACAGATACTTAAAAGAATGGCCAATGATCCTATTAATCTTAGGAAAACACAAATTAATTCCACAGGGAGATATCACTACACTCATTAGAATGGCTAAAATTTTAAGAAATGACAATACCAAGAGTTAATGAATATGCTCAACGATGGCATTCTCATCAGTTGCTAGTGGGAGTGTGAAATAACACATTAGGAAACAGTTTGGCAGTTTTTTCTAAAGTTAAATATACACTTAACACAGAACTGAGTAATTCTATACCTAAAGTATTTGCAGAAGAAAAATTAAAAATCATATCCATACAAACACTTGTACATGAATATTATAGAGGCTTTATTCATGAAAGGCAAAAACTTGAACAACCCAAAGTTCTGTTTAACAGATGAATAAACAAACTAAAGTACATGCAAATAACGGAATACTAATCAACAATAAAAAATGAACTACTCCTACACACAACAAACTGAAGAAAAAAAAATCTCAAAAACATTACTCCCTGAAATAAGCCAAATACAAAAGGACAAATATTCTATGATTCCATTTATGTGAAAGATCTAGAATAGTCAGATTCACAGTGACCCAGAGAATGGTGGTTACCAAGGAGGGGAGAGTGAAGAGTTATTTTTAATGGATACAGAGTTTCAATGATGAAAAAGTTCTGGAAATGGACTGTGGAGATGATGTCACAACAATATGAATGTACTTAATACCACTGAACTGTACACTTAAAAATGGTTACGATGATAAATTTTATGTTATGTATATTTTACCACACACACAAAATCATTTTGCTGAGGGAAAAAAGCCAGACAGAAGAGAGTACATACTATATGGCCATTTACGTGGCATGTCAGAACATGTAAAACTAAGCAATAATGACAGAAATCACATGAATGGCTGTCTGGGATGGAGAAGAGAAGAAGGAGCTGACTGTAAAAGATCTCAAAGAACTTTTTAAAGTGACCTTACATTTGCCAAAACTCACTGAAATATACACTTAAAATGCATACATATTTTTAAAAATGCATACATACTAGAGTATGTAAATTGCACTTCCGTATATTTTCAAATAAATAAATAAGCTTGAGGAGGGAATGAAATGCAACAGAGTAGAAAATAAAAATCTATAGACTCTTTCAAGGAATGAGGTTATGTTATGGTGTACAAAGAAGGTAGTAGCTGGAAGCAAATATGTGGTCTGAGGAGTATTTCTCAAGATGAAAGAGAAATGACTGTATTTAATGCCAAATAAACCAGTTATTTGAAACTGAGGACAATAATGGCAACTCAGGACCATTAATAGACGAATTCAAACTAATGGTAATAGCTTTTCAAAGCCATCAAGCATATGTAAGGATATCCATACCATCTATGTGGTAAAAAGCCTTGTGAGAAGATCACCTGCAAGTATGGAGAGTAACAAATGTTTTCCCAGTACAAAAAACACTACTTGAAGGGAATGAAAACTCTACTTCAGAGACTAGAACAGCCAAAGAATTCTAGTGAAAGTAATTACTGCTTCTCTCAGGTGGCATATCAAATTTGGACTAAGGTATGTACTTGGAAATAGTCATACCCTGTATCCTTGCCCCCAAAACATCATTGTTGTCATCTTTATAACTGTAATTTTATGATTTAGTAAGGTAATTTTTTAACTTCAGTCTTTTTATAAAAGCCTCTACAAACATTATTTTAAGGCCTCGACATGAAATAAATTTTGAAACACTTCATATAGCTATTTTTAATTAAAAATAAAGAAAGAAGGAAAAGACCTACTATTTCCAAACATGGAATTCAATGACAAAAACTAGTACTATTTTAATCAACTTTTAGGTATGGCTTTTCCTTAAATTTGACTTTTACAATTTATATTAATACATTCCTCTATTGACATCTTCATTTGTTAAGTATTTTCAGATTCCAAAACTGGATGTGTATATTTACAAAAAAATTACTCCAAGAGATATGCTTCATACACATCATTAATAAGATGGAATAGTACAACCAAATTGCTATGAACTATTATTCTCAAAATTCAAAATCCCTTATTTTGAATCCTGAAAGCATCAGGAGTTAGCAAAACGACAACAGATATTCTTGCAACGGACTACAGTAAAATGAATGTTCACTTCTGTTCAGATCTACAACAAAACCAAAGGTAATTGCTATGACACTGATTACAATGTATCAATGTACCTACATCGACAGCAGAGCTAAGCTTCTACATTTTCCCTTTCCATAGAGGACTGCTGCAAATATATGCACCAAATAATTTGGGAAATTATATAAACAAGAAAATGTAAATTAGAAAGTGGTTTGTTCTGGTCTTTCCTTCTTACTTTTTTTCCACTTTTCTTTTTCAGAGGCCACAGAGTACTTTTTTCTAAAAATTTCTGCTTCCATAAGATCAATGATACAATGACATCAAAACATAGTAATTTCTATTTGCAAAAACAGTTTTCTCTCTTATATAATAATACATTTCATATAAGATTTTATCTTACCTGGCCAGTTCTTTAATTAAATTTGCAATGCGTCTTTTGTCTTCGAGACATAAATCCTTCAACGACGCACTCTTCATTCCTCCCCTGCAGAAATTCTAATACAAAACAAAACAAAAAAAATCTTTTGGTTAACTTTTGCTAAAAACAATTTTTAAGACTTTTTGAGAGGGCGCCTGGGTGGCTCAGTTGGTTAAGCGACTGCCTTCGGCTCAGGTCATGATCCCGGAGTCCTGGGATCAAGTCCCACATCAGGCTCCCAGCTCAGCGGGGAGCCTGCTTCTCCCTCTGACCTTCTCCCCTCTCATGCTGTTTCTCTCTCTCTCAAATAAATAAATAAAATCTTTAAAAAAAAAAGACTTTTTGAGAAATCTCTTAAAATTAGCACAGGAAGTAAAATTTTTCAGATTATCTTTTCTCTGGTACACTTTTTTTTTTTTTTTAAGATTTATTTATTTGAGAGTGAGAGACAGAGATAGCGAGATAGACCATGAGCGGGGAGGACAGGGAGAAGCAGACTCCCGTTAAGCAGGGAGCCTGACACATGGCTTGATCCCAGGACCCTGGGATCATGACCTGAGCCAAAGGCAGATGCTTAACCTACTGAGCCACCGAGGTACACTCTTTACCTATTTCATTCAAACTTACTATGAATTCAAAACAGGCTAAGGAACTGTCTGTCCAGCAGGGGACATCATAACATTTACATAGAGAAGACCACAATAGGCAGAAATGACCCTGTTTAAATATTAGGGATTATTAAGGAAACAACGTTCCCTTGGTGAATGTCACAAAACAAACACCTCATGGAGGACACTGAGAACTTTTCCTATACTACAGCCCGCAGGCTGCTTAAAAGTACACTAAGGTTGACAGCAGAGACACCAGTTTCCAAGTTCTCAATATATCCTAAACTTCATTCCAATGGGTACTAGACCAAAGAGTAATAATAATAGCTAACACATATCTCATGCTTACTGCATGTCAGGAACATTATAAGTACTTTACACTTACTAATCTGGCCGATTTGCACAACAGTGCTATGAATTAGATATTATTTCTATTTACGGTGAGGGGATATCTTTCCTCAGATTAAAGCAGTTAAAGTAGCAGAACCAGGACTCGAGCACACATCCAGAGTATGTGCACCCAACCACTGAACTAGCCTATCTCTTGTGCTATAAAAAGTTCTCCTAGTACTTGAATTTCATTAAGAGGGGTCTTTAAAGCAATGAAACTCAGCGAGTCCCAGGGAAACTACAGGTAACATGTAAACGGAAGGAACCCTAGGCATTTGTACAATCACAAAGTAGGTTAGTCCAATTTCTTCAGGTAGCCAAGGACAAACCAAGACCTCTAAAATGAGTCCTGGAAATATTGATAGCCATAGATGGAAAAGATCGGGAGAAAAAGGAAATGGGGAGAAAGGAGATGGTAAGAAAATAAAATGAGTTTGGTTTTGGATATGGTCAACTTAAGATGCTAGGAAGATAGTCATATGGAAATGTTTAGGAAGGAAGTTGGAAAAATGGGTCTGGCTCTCAAGTAAGAGAAAAATATAAAGATTTAAACTTTAGTCATATGGTATAATGGATGATATTTAGATTTTTATTATTTTCTTTATACTTCTTTATGTTTTAGATTTTTCCTTAATGTTAAAAAATATTAGTTTTTAAAAATCATCTATGAATCCAAGATAATAAATTAAAGGACAAGAGAATCAGAAGGATATAATATTGTGGGAGAAAAAAAGTTTCAAGAAGAGCACAGGGTTAACAGCGCTAATGATCAAAAAAAGCTACACAGAATGTGGAAAGCAGTCACTCAATTTGGCAACGGAAAAAGTTGCTGAAAACACACAAGAAGACATCTTAGTGGTGCAGTGAGTAAAAGAACAACAAGAGAAACCCTTGCACATGGGCAAGAATTTCAACTGCACTGTGTTTGACAGAACGTCCTTGAAAATACAGATGTTGGGGCGCCTGGGTGGCTCAGTTGGTTAAGCAACTGCCTTTGGCTCAGGTCATGATCCTGGAGTCCTGGGATCGAGTCCCGCATCGGGCTCCCTGCTCGGCAGGGAGTCTGCTTCTCCCTCTGACCCTCTTCCCTCTCGTGCTCTCTCTCTCTCTCAAATAAATAAAATCTTTAAAAAAAAAAGAAAAGAAAATACAGATGTTTGTCAATTAGAGAATAAACTGTAGCATATTTAGACAATAGAATTCTGTAGGTATTGGTTGTTATGTTACTTATTGATTTTCATCTTCAAACCCACCCTTCGGAGCCCTCCTCTGTGGTGCTGGGTCTCAGACTCTAGGAACCTCACATCTCCTTTGCCAGACGGCTCTCTGTTAAAACCTACCAATAGGAAGAACTAGAGGGCGACCAAAGTTTGCCCGAAAAAGAAGAAAAGACACAGTCCTTCCTATTTACATCTCATTCCCACTAGTGTCATCCCTGCCAGAGTGTGCTGACAAGGATAGCAGATTCCAGATTCCAATTTTCCTGGCCCTGGCAGAACGAGCCTTTAGCATGTCTCCTCGGGGACCGCAGTATCAGTGAGGCTGGTTCCCCATCATCAGAAGTCTATGTTCCAGCTCTAAAGGACCCCTCCCCCAAGCATCTAAGATTTAATAAATCCAACTTGCTCTGGCTGTTTTCCTAGCCCTAGAGATGGGAGTTGTTTCTTGCTGTTACTACCTACATGATATCTTGGTGTTCTCTGTTTACCTTTTCAGTTCTCTAGCACCAATTTAGCAAGTCTTTATATTAAATATTCTCAGTAAAAAAAAAGTGACTAGACTCTGGCTGAAATATAAGTGAAAAGAAATGACATACAATGGGGCGCCGAAGTGGCTCAGTTGGTTAAGTGCCCAACTCTTGTTTTGGGCTCAGGTCGTGATCTCATGGGTCATGAGCCCCACGTTAGGCTCCATGCTCAGCTGGGAGCCTGCTTAAAGATTCTCTCCCTCTGCTCCTCCCCCAACTCTCTCTCTCTCAAATAAATAAATAAATAAATAAATAAAAGAAATGACATATAGCTATATACAATTTAAGTAAATCTCATGAACATATGTTGAGCAAAAAAAGCAAATGATACAATACACATAGCATGAGCTTATTTATGTAAAGTTCCAAATGTATTTAACACTGAACATTGTTTAAAAAATAATTATGTATTTAGATTATATTGGACAAGGGTTGGTAAACTACAACTGCAAGCCGAAACTGGCTCACTGCCTATTTTTGTTAAGTAAAGGTTTATTAAAACACAGCCACGTACATTCATTTACACATTGACATATACATGGCTCTTCACACTATAGTGGCAGAGTTGAATAATTGAGACAGAGGTCACATGGCTCACAAACGTTAAATATTTATCAACTGGCCCTTTACAGAAAAAGTTTGTCTACTCCTAACATTAAGAAAAAAAAAAAAAAGAATGATAAACACAAAATTCAGGATAGGGATTACCAAAGCAGATGACAGACTAAGGGAAGGATATACCTCTACAGCCACTTGGTTTACAATGGCATCATTGCGATTCAGTAGGGAGAAGAATGGTCTTCTCAATAAATAGTGCAGACTAATAGACTGTCAGTATGGAAAAATGAACTAACACCACCATACCCACAATAATTCCTGATGAACGGATTTCACTGTGAGAAGTAAAACAATGTGGCTTCTAAAAGAGAGAGAGAGAACCTGCTACAAAGAGTGCAGTTGGCTAACAGCCTCACCTAAGTACTGCCATACCTTCAGATCCACTGTGGTGTTCATACCAGTGCCAGTGACTGGAAACAGCAGAGGTACTAGAACTGAACTATTTCTGTTTGACATGGCATCCTTAAAGAACAATATTTGTTCTGGGGTTCCCCATTAGCCTGACAGACACTACTTCTGACTGCAAGGCAGTATGAAGTGTGAGGTTTTTCCTAGTCAATTTTTCTTCTTTCTTTTTTTTTTCACAGATGCCAGACCTGCAATAAAATCCTAAGGCTCTCCTTGTCTATTCCTGTTCACTTTATTCTCTATCCTATGTCAGCTTTTTCTCCACTAAATCTCTTCCATTTTTACTTTCATCTTAGTACCTACTTCCCAGAAGACTTGAACTGACATAATTACCATTTTGAAAACCTTAATGAATTAAGGACCTAGCTATTGAATATCAATGGCTACAAAGATCACATACAGAAAAAATATGACATTATTTCTCTGAAGAAAAACACAGACAACATCTAGTTTTGAGAAAAAATGCATATGCATACACAAACACACACCCCACACACATCATTTCTAGTTTTGCAACAAAATAAATACACACATACACAACTTCTACATTCCACTTCTGGGCAAAAAGGAGTAATAGGAACCATGCTTACCCTGATGCCTAAAACAACCAAAAAACCTGACAAATTATATGAAAAAGCAGTTCTCAAACACTGGACAACAGGCAGCACAGGAAAGTGATCACTGAAAAGAGGGGAACCAAGTAAGGTGAGCCATGCAATTATCCTAGCTAAACTGCCTCTGGAGTTTTCAGGGTGTAATCTCCCCAAGTTGAGAAGATAGAGCTGGAAGTCCAGGAGAGCCAAACTGTCTAGAATTTGCAGGGCAGAGTCATGGAGAGGATAGAACTTCACAGAAAGAGAGCTCTACGGATCTGCAGAGGGTTCCCTGCACATCAACCACTTAGTACCGATTAGAATTTGTCTATGAGGAAACCCACCAAAAGCCAAGGAAAGAACAAATGAGAATGTGAGAATAATTTCTGTAGCTAATACAGTGTCATCAATAGTCTATGTTCCCACCAGCCAGAGTGGAAAATCCCATAATTCAAGGGGCATCAGGAAGAGTACTTAGAGGGCCACTGCCTATAGAGGGCAAAATTAGCCCTATATTAAAAGCTGCTCTAGTGTCACCTTTAAAAGCTTAAACCTGGCACCTGGGTGGCTCAGTTGGTTAAGAGACTGCCTTCAGCTCAGGTCATGATTCTGGAGCCCCAGGGTCTAGTCCTGCATCAGGCTCCCTGATCAGCAGGGAGTCTGCTTCTCCCTCTGACCTGCCCCCCTCTCATGCTCTCTCTCTCATCTCTCTC